TTTGTTTTGGAGTCTGAAAATTTTACTTGATTTTAGAGAATAATAATAGTAATTCTTTAATCCTTGGACTTGAAGCTTGTCATATAACGAAGAGATTTAATTTGGTGTATAGAGAAAAGTTTGGTTATAAGAAGTGCTTCATCAACTATAATTTATCATCTTTAAGATAGGAAAAGAACTGGGTAGCTTTTCCTGTTTCAGACAGTTGAATGGGACTAAGCAATAACCGGCAAGAATGTGACTTCATGGGTGACCTTACTAGTTTTAGCTATATTATGGTTTTGGCAACTCAGTTTCTCATGGAGTTTGTAGATGAGGTCCATCTGTTGCATTTGGAAAGTGTCAGGATTCTCAATGACTAGAAGTCAAAACAGTTGAGATGCAGGAAGAGGAGAGGAAAAGCAAAGATGCTTTTGGTAAATAATCTATTTTTATCCTCTGCTGTGTTGAGGCTGCAGTTTTACATGTGCATTTCATGTCAGTTTCTATCACTTTGCTTGTAAATGAAGTAGTGACATTTTGTACAGAAAATTTATTTATTTTGATTTAAAGAGATCTTCAGTGTTATATTAAAACTATTTAAAATTTGTAAGGCTCAATTCTTAAAGACCTCAAATACTAGCATGTATATGTACAGAGTACCATTAAATATCAAATTGTATGTATTTATCAGGTTACTTTTATGTATCATAAGCTTTAACAGTTAGAGAGTCTCCTCCTCAGAAACAGGTACAGTATACTTTAAGGTTTTCAAAAATAGCCTTTAATTTAGGTGAACGCATTCACTAATTCACCACACTGGGGGGAAGTAGCAGGAGCATTTCTACTCTACTGCATTATCAAGGTACCACCATACAAGAATATACAGAGGGAATTGTACAGACCATTGTGAAGAAATATACCAGCATTCAATTCCTCTTTCCCTATTTTGCAGCTGTACGTCACAGTGTAGAGCAGACCAACTTTGCCACTTTGTGGTGTAGATTCTTCTAGGTTCATGAAAGTTAATACCTTACTTTGCAGTATAATTGATACCAACGCTGCAAATTAAAGCAGGAGTTATCAAGTATGAAAAATGATGTCAGAAAGCTGATACTTAATGACCATCACAGCTCACTGGTGAGCTGTGGTTCTGTTTTTATTTTTGGAATCAAAAGAAGTTTAGCATTAGTAGTTTTCCTGGGTTAGTCCTATATTCTGCATCATTGTTGAAAGCAAAGCTTTTGAGAATCTGCATAACTATTGAGATTGTGGTTTCTTGGTTTCTACACCAGCAGAGAAAATCACCTGATTTTGTGGTAGGTGTGAATACAGATCTTAATAGCAAGCTTTCATTAGAGAATTTACATAATACAGCTTTGCATTTATAATAGCCTAACATCTCCAAAGATTTGATGGTTTACTAGTATCTGAGGGTTTGAGGTAATTAACTATCTGTCAGAATGTGCTCAGCATAGCACAGAATCAGACCAGTAATGTGCATTCATGCTGTCTGGAAACCAAACCCCAGAATGCCTCTATGGTGTGGGTAAATTAGTCTTAATATTTCTTACTGGATTTACTGTTTACTTGTATAATACTAATTCTAAATAAGTAAAAAGCTTTAAGGAAGAAGTGAATAGATTACCTAGTTATTCTACATTACCTATATTAGAAATGAGAGAAAAATAACCAAAACACAGTGATGAAATTGTTGCTTAAATAAAAGCATTCAGAAGATGAAGTTAGTTTATTGTCTAAGCAGTGTACTGGCTTGACTCACTTTCATACACTTAGAGCAATTACTTTTTTAGTACGTTAACTTGTCTGGCCGATGATTATGCAAATCAAATCATTCATGAACTTAATTTGAAGGGTTGAACACACAGTACTTGAACATGGCTTAGGGGATTTAAAGGCCTTTCTTTTTCCAGATAACGAGTAGGAGCTTTGTGATACCTGGGAATAAATATTTCTGCACTGCACCGAAGCACAATATCAGCAGCAGCCATCTGCCCAGACTCAAGTTGTCATTCAATGCTGAGCTATTAGTTATACGTGTACTTGTTTCACACCTGAGTAGTGATCTGCCTGCAGTGATAGTCCTGTGCTTTGATCAGTATGTTGAAAAAGTGATGGGCTTTGTGACACAAGGTGTTATTACTCTAGTCCAACTTTCAGGAGCTGTATGTATGAAGTCTGATGTTAATTCAAACTGCCACACTTTGAAAGCTGAGAACTCTGAGAAACATCCTCACAAAAGTAAGTTCACGTGAACAAAATGGTTTGTAACCACCCTTTGTGGTATTGACAGCAAGACCTCTTTTGGCCCTCCCAGGCTGATAAATGAAATGTGCTTGTTGAATGCTGTGGTTCTCTGTGAGTCTTCTCTGAAGCCACGGATGAGACTGGGAAACAGATCTGAGTGTCTGCTGAGGGATACTACAAGGCTTTGTCTCACTCCTCGTTTCTGCCTGTCAGAAGTCTGATGACAGGTTTGCTGTTGCTCTTGTGTAGCATGAAGACAGCAAGTTGACTGCACCTGAATGAGGACATTCTGCCCCATTTCTCACGTGGTGTCCATTTCAAAGGGCAATATTAACCTCATTTTGCTCTGGCTGTCACTCAAAGGATACAGCAAATAGTTTGAAGACCTGATGAACAAAAAAATCAGTTTCACTGTTGAACAAAGATATAGAACATTTCTTCTAATGTTCATGATCATTTTTTAAGTGTTTCATCACACCCATAGGATGTGATGTATTTAAACTGCTAGGAAACAACCCTGTGGAGGGGTACTAGTTCAGGGGTGCATGCGAATCCCATCTTGTTAGACTTGTTGAATAAGTGAACACCCTCAAAATGCCAGCAGCTAAGTACTGTGAAGCTTAGTACCTGATTAATATCATACATAGCTTGCTCTGAGAAAGTCTGTTCTTTTCTTAATATTGAAAAACTTGAAACCATCAATTGCCTGTGATGTTTGAGCCTCATGACAAGGTTTATGTTTGTCGTAAGGAAGTTTCAGTCAGTGACTGCTATTTTCAACTGGGGTATTCATCTCTGAGGAGACAGAAGTAACTTGGAGCTTTGTAACCAGCACTGCGTGTTAATGTGTGCATCTCTGAACTGGTTAAGAACTAACTCATCAGATGTCGGGGTGTGTTGCTCTCTTGTAATACTGTGTCATGCTTTAAGGGGGCAGCCTTCTGAGATGCCTTAAGAAAGTTTTCCTTGAAGCAATTCTTGCTAAAATGATGTTGATAGTATTAGTGGGGAAGAAATGTTTGATCTGACTAACGGGAAAAATTCTTATAAAAGTTTGTTGGACTTGCTGTTTCATGTGACTAATACAGTTTCCATTGAATTACTTGGATAATAAATTGGGGGAAAATACTCAGATATACTGGGAGTTGGACAGGGTAGGCAGTATAGCCAAGTTAAAGGCACTGTCTCAGAAATTGCTTAGATTTTTATACTTTATTTCTTATGTCTGATATTCATTCAGTATTCATCTTGCATTCATATGATTTAAGATAGAAATTTCAATTACTATTTTGACCAAATATATATTGCTAGGTTATATCATGCTCTAATGCATTACAAAAACTAAAAGGTCTTTTTCCAGGAAATTTCACAAAGATTTATTTTGTTTTCAACAAGCATAATACTTTCCTGAATCAGTGAAAGGACCAGTGGAAAAAAAAAAGTTTATTTTCTGAAAATATTGTCTTTAAATTTTTAGCAGTTCAACTTTTACTTTGAATTTCAAGTATACTTAAAAAAAAAAAAAAAAAAGAATAACAGCTTCTCATTGTGGCACTAATTTTCAAGCATAAATTATCCTAATGAGCAGTGGTGGCTTATACTTCATAATGTGTTCAGTATTATTTAAAAAAAAAAAACAAATATAAGCCTTGTTATATTAAAAATGTAGTAAGTATATTCTAGTAACTGGCATGAAAATATTTGCTTCTTGTTATTTGATTGTTATTATAAAAATGAACCTGATAAAGTTGGGTTTTGTAGCCACGTATTTTTCAGCTGAAATGGACTAGTTGAGGATGTTGTAGTGGTTTAAGTGGGTCACTTTTAATGTTTATATCTTTAAATCAGTATAAGTTTCTTGCACTGACAAGGATCTGGAGTACACCGTTCAGAAGAGGTTAAATTAAGTAATGCACATTAAACTGGAAAGTATGTCTAGAAGGACAAGAGTAGAAATTCTTCTGTGCCATTGAAAACTAACTTGATGCATCAAGTGCTTTGAGCAAATTTCTGGCTTGAGGGAACTGAGGAAAAAAAAAAAGGTATTGAGCAGTTTACCAGTGTTTCTAGAGGTGTTGGGCATGTTTTACATTGTCTAAGTGTGCAGTTTCTGGGCAGCCTGCTGGTCACTGGAATCATTACAAGGATTCAAGTGTCCATGCATAGGTAGCATAGGTCAATCCAAATTGGGGACAACTCCAGGGGAATAGCTTTTTCAGTTTTTCACATCAACGTTAGAAATATTTATTTCAAAAGTAGACTTTGAACTGTATTGGGGTAACCTAGCTTGAAAGTACCTCAGAATAAACGGGAATAAATGAAGGGTAGTTTCTTGTTTTTAGAAGTACATGGTCATCCTCAGTTAGGTACTTCTGTTCTAACCTTAGGACAGGCTTTTTCCTATTTTTCTGCAGATAAAGAGTTTAGTGTTGGAGAGTATGTAACATTTTCCAGTAAAATAGTGAGGTAACTGCATTTTTCAGTTATTGTCCGCCACCTCTTCTTTCAAGTCTTGTTTTTTTTTTTCACTTGAAGTTTTTGTAGTTAGCTCGTAATTGTCTTGAGTGTATTGTTATTTTTCTGGAATATAAACAGAGGAAGTGTTTCTAGTGTTTAAAATTTAGTTTTACATTTATTAATTTTCTTCACCTTTTGTTAAGTATTTTCCACTACTTATTTCTGGGAAGGTAATCTATAAACACTATAAACACTACCATGTACTGTAAGATTAAATATTTCAATATTTTCTGCAGGAGCACCTGTCATTGAAAAAATACATTGTGGATATTGTGATTGAGAGTTCTCTTCCTGTGGAACCACTGAAAGAAGGAGAGGAAAAACAAAAAAATAAAAAGAAAGCCAAAAAGTTAAAAGCACGGATGAACTCCAGGTAGTAAAAGCTATTGTTCTTTTGTTTGTTTGTTTATCTGTTTTAAGTTTTATTCTGAACTTTACTTTTTGTCCTTTAGCATGAGTGCCATGGAAGGCTTAAAAAAAGAAAAAATAAGTTATTTGCTTTGGGAGTGTCCTGAAAATAATACTGATGAGCCTAATTTATGGCCACTTTCTCTGATTGAGAAAGAAAACTGAATATCGATCTGGAGCCCTTGGTTTCACCTGTTAAGAGCTTTTCTCATAATTGGATGCCAGTGCCCTGCCAAAACCATAGCATCTTCTAGCATACAATAGCATGTTTAAATTTGTGTAAACCATGCCTATTTTTCTTTCTAGCTATTGATTTTTAAATGAAGTATCAAAGAAAATCAATAGTAATCAACAAATAGAAGTCAGCCTGCTGTAGTGTCAAATCCCATGACTAAATTTAATCATTTTTTGTTGCCTGTCACAACAGAAAGAAAGTTAAAAATATCTTAAAATGGAAAGTGAGTTGTCAGACCTGTAATTTGTTATTAGCTTAAAAAGTGACATCTCCAAATCAGTAAGATATGCAAGATGACATTATATCATGAACTGCAGTGTCAATCTGTAGCTGAGGAGACCCCAGCTGAAGTAAATACTTAAATCTAAAAATACGTTATATTATTTAGTTATCTCTTAAAAATATTTCTCAGGTGGTAAAGTGCATTGTTACATATATTCTCTGTATTGTTTTTAAGGAGGAAGCATTGCAGATTAGAAAAAAAAAAAAAAGTATAGGTTTTTAGAGCAAAAGTAAAAATGAATTAGTATGTTAGCTCATAATAAAGTTAATAATGATACATTAATCTTCAGAAATACAAAATTTTACAATTTTTATCATTTCTGATTTTTTTCCTCTTTGGATGATCAAATTTAGTGTCTAAACTTCACATTTGAACACACTGTTGAATTTGGATAGTAAGTTCTTGCAGGTTTCTAATTTCTCGGGGTGGATTTTCATTCATGTTACCTGTTGAATTAATGCAGCTATTGGGTCCAATTTTAATTGTTTCTCAAGACCTGCTTCTGTTGAATTTAGTCAAAGGTTTGTCAGACCTAGGAGTAACAGTTCAAATAATAGTTTGTTATTGGCACTGGGTGTTGAAAAAGGGTTTTGGAACATTTTGAATTCTGATGTTTCAGACTACTGGGTGAGTCAGCATAGCTGTCATAAAAATTTTAATTAAAGCAGACATCATTTTACAAAGATGTACTAATGAGAAATACAGTGGATGTTTCAAAATCTAGGAGGAATTAAATTGGAGAGGCATGAAATTTACATTTTTTAAGCTTGTTTTTAGTTGACTAAGAGTGACTTGACTTTTCATTGCTCTCCTTGAAGAGAACATTAAATTGACGATTTCACCATGAAATTTATGTATACCATGTAACGTTAACAAAAAAGCTTACTAATAAAGATGTCCAGTAGCAAAATGGAACAAAGTTTGTTCTATTTCAAACAAAAAAATGATGAGGAAAAATAAAATCCATTTAGGAGATTAATTTTAACCATGCGAGGCTTGCCAGTCTTCTACAGTTAGTATAATTGACAGTTGAGTAATAGTAATAGGCCTAGTAATGACAACTACGGCCTTGGATGTTTGGAGGTTTGCTGTAATCAGAAAATGATAAAGCGTTATGTTATGTACTGCTGCAGCCTCACTTGAAGTACTGCCTGTAGGTTTGGGCGCTACAATATAAGAACGACCTAAAACTATTACAGAGCTTCCAAAGGAGGACTGCAAGGCTGGTGAAGGGCCTAGAGTGCAAGGCCCGTGAAGAACGCCTGAGGCCCCTTGGTTTGTTCAGCTCAGAGCAGAGCAGGCCAAGGAGAGGCCTCATGGCGGCCTGCAGCCCCCTCGTGAGAGGAGCGGAGGAGCAGGCGCTGAGCTCTGCTCTCTGGGGACAGCGACAGGACCCGAAGGAACAGCATGGAGCTGGGACAGGGGAGGGCCAGGCTGGATATTGGGAAAAGGTTCTTCAGTGAGAGCGTTGTCAGGCACTGGAACAGGAACCCAGGGACATGGTCACAGCACCAAGCCTGCTGGAGTTCAAGGAGCATTTTGACAAGGCCCTCAAACATAAGGTTTGATTTTGGGGTGGGCCTGTGTGGAGCCAGGAGCTGTACTTAGTGATCCTTGTGGGTCCCTTCCCTTTGGGATATTACATGATTGTTAAAGCAGTTAAAGTAATAATCTCACAATTACAATATGAAACGCTAAATTAAATAATTTAGAGTGTGTCTACTATGTTTCTGCTCAGCAATCTGAACAGTAATACAAGCAGATTGCTGGGAGTTACTCTATAAAATCAACTGAGAACTTAAATGGAATATATGAAGTCCCTAATAATTTATTGTGGGTGGTTATCTATAAGCTGTGTTTTAGCACATATTTGCAACTATTCTTCTTCTTCTAAAGAAGTAGTGGTAACAAACCCTCCTACACCTGATGGCTTGAAATTACACATTCATTTCCATTCCGAGGAAGCTGTGATATTTAAAATTTGAAATAACTAACTGCATTAAAATAGGTCCTGTTTCTCTCCTGAGTTTCTTGCTCCTAAATCAATATAACAATATGAAAGCTACAAAGGGCAAAGGTGAATGAGGGAACAAATTGTCATCACTGGGTTATTAGATATGTTGAGAAGTTTTGTTAGTCTTATTAATAATATTTATAACCCTAAGCTGTTAAACTGATGCCATGGTAACAACTGATATATAGCTAAATAAATTATCTCAGGTTAACACACATGTGCTGCTATGAGAAGAATACATTGGTGCCTGCATGGCAAACTGAGGCCTGCTGAAACCTAACCCCCAGCAACAAAGGTGGAGTTACCAAGTAGGAAGTGCATACAGTTGAGATAAGCTCTGCAATGGATTTAAAGCACTTCTGTCATGTTCTTTGGTAACAGATATTTTAGGTGATTATTCATGTTTGACTGACTCGTCTGTACAAAACTCAAAGATAAAATATGTTGTTTCTGGCTAAGAGACAGGAAGGAAGGCAAAAGGTTAATAAGGGAATCTCACCTCCATGTTTAATACTAAATTCACTTGTGATTAATAGCTTTATTAATGATCCACAAATCAGAACTAGTACTAATGTAACAGTATTTGCATGTGGCAGAAGTTGTTTAGGTTAAGCAAGCTGAGGGAAAATTTGAGTGGCATTGGAAAACTTGATCTTGGGTGAAGAGAGAATATAAAGAAGTGTGAAGTATGTGTATCTGAGAGAAAGAGTGAACTATTTCTGAAACTTTTAGGTTTTAAATGAGCACTCTCAACCCTAGGAACAAAATGACTGTTACTTAGAGATTAGTAAAGACCTTTGAACAGTTGCAGTTACAGCCAAAATCAAAATGTCATGTTGCTGTGTTATGTTGATGATTTTTTTTCTAAAAATGATGTAGAACATTGTCTCACCTAGCTGAAAGGACCTTGATAAAGTAGAAAAATACAGGAAAAGATTATGAGGTTACAAAAAAAAAATAGCTTTCATGAAGAGAAGTTGAAAAGACAAAAAGGCTGGGAATGTTTATTTTAAGAAGTTGTGAGGAAAGACCTGATACAATAGTAAATGAAATCAATGCTTAGGATTTATTAGGAATTAAATCTTTACTAAATTGGTGTTTTGTAGTGGAGCAATAAAACACATTTCCAATTGGAAGCCATTGACAAAATCTTGGATTCGGAAAACAAACCACCAAGAAAAGAAAACAGTTGGATGTTTGTAAAGCTAGCAAGAATGCCAAATAACAATGGTTAATGTTCAAAATACTTAGGAAATTAATACTAAACAGCGTTTTTATGGGTCAAAGTTGACCTGAAGCAGATGTTTTCTGTTTCTGTCTTGAGGGACTTTTGGCACCTTCCTCTGGGGATTCTTATGGGTGCCACTGGTAGAGACAAATCACATATCTGGTTTAGTCCAGCATGACAGTGAGGTTTCCTTCAGGTGTGGGTACAGCTTGCCAAAGTCCTGACTTGTGAAGAGTTTTCCCAGCTGTGAATGAGGTGCTACTCATTCATCTGAGAACAGAACCTCAACAGACTTGAATAGCAGTTCTGCCGTAAGGCTCCAGAGGTCTGTGTTGTATCTGTGAGGTCTTCATTTCAGAATAAAAATTGAAAGAGCAATTTCAATGGATCAAATGTTTTTAACATCCAGATGCTTTTAGTGTCTGCTGGATGTTTTTTTCACAAGGCTCTGGCTCTGAAATTTTATTTTTTCCCTTGTCACTGTGGTGTGTGGTTTAGTTTTACTTCATGAAGTTGGGGGGATGTTATAAAGTGTTACAGGATTACCACTCTGAGTCCTGTTTTGGTTGATGAGCTGATGATGATTTTCACCTGCTAGTTTAGGCTGGTTGCAGTCAAAACAAGTGGTGAAAAAGAAGTCCTGTCTCTGTCTTCCTGCATTTTGGCATATGGCCAGTGTAAATAAGATTTTAAGTGTCTAAACAGGTATGTGATTATAGGTCCTGTTTCCATTTCTAACAGTAAAAGAGCCGTTAGTGGAAGTATTTATTTCTGTGCTGTATGCCTAACAAGGGTCATACCGTTATAAAATGGACATTAATTTCATTAAAAATACCTCTATAGCTGTAAATAAAACAAATAATTTGTTAATTATAATGTCTGTGTTGTAGTATTCTGATCTACACCACCTGTCTAAATTACTAATATTTTCATTAGACAAATGAGTTAATTTTATAATGAAGTAAGTTTCTACAGTTCTTTCCCTGTTATTGTATATGGTGTTTTAACATTTGTCACCATACTGAAGGTCAAATTAAATCCACCATTTGTGTACTAATGTTATACTAAATAGTATTAATAAATATTAGTTGTTAGTGACTAGTAGTTAAACATGTGTATGCATTATGGTAAGGCAGAATTGTCAGAAATGGCATGACTTATTATGGAACAGAAAAATTGCAAAGGCTAGAATTATCTTGCTGATATTCCATACGGTATGCTTTAGATGATAGTCAATAAATGATTAATATTTCTTCCTCCAGGGCAAAGGAATATGAGAGTTTGATGGAAGCAAAAAATGCCGTCTCCGATTCCCCATTTAAAGCCAAGTAAGCGTTTTACTTTACGTATTTTAGACTTTTTTTTTCCTGTCTGTAGCAGAAGTGCTTCTGAAATTTCCAGTGGAGTGTGGTAAGGTTCCCATTCAATATGGAATGTACTGTCATATTGAATTACAGATAATTCCTAACACGAAAGGTCAGATGTTATAAATGCCTTTTTTTTTTTTTTCTGGAGGCACTGTATATCTTAAACCATGTAAGATACAATAGAAAGAGAGCATACATTATCTCTTTATTACCTAGAAGCAAGAAGGCTCCAGCTTAGTACTCTTCAACACAGATTGTGAAAGTTCAGTACTGGAATTATGGAACTGAAAAATTTGTGTTACCTCCCTTTGGTCAGAAACAAAGGTTCACATGGTGAACCCAGGTATTTTAGTGCACAGGTGTCTTAATCTGACATTGAGCTTTGTAAAGAGTAGACTATTTATTGTCGAAGATAAGGCACAGATGAAGGCAGTGGATGGTAAAATTAAAACAAGCAATTATCACTGACAGATTTCTCTTCCTTAGGATGAAACTGAAAATTAGTCAGCCTTTTCTGTGTGATTGCATTGAAGCTGTTTGGCAAAAGATGCAGAATATTTAGATTCCAAAAAGTTCTTGACAAGTTCTTTCTTGCCAAAGGTTTTAGAGGAATCTGTATAGCTTTGGCGTAAGTAGGAATCAGTTCAAAAACTGAAAAGAAGTGGAGATGCCTGATCAGTCTTTGCCAAATAGAGAGGTTACTGGTAGAATTCAGCAGTCCTACAATGTTCAACGTAGTCACAAGGACTTGGACCAGAGGGCAAACAGTGAGATGGCACTGTTTGGCCACTTTGTGAAGATACTCAGGATAATAGGGACAAGAGCTGATACTGACTAATAATTTTGAAGAGAGACAGTAACAAAGCAGTAAAGCAGCGGGTGAAATTCACTGTGTATGAAGGGCTATACAGTGTCAGGGACACAGGAACTCAATGCTACCTTCACATATAAACTGATGGGCTTTGAACCTACAGAAGTGATACATAGTTCCAAGAAAATACTAGCTCCGTACTCCTAGCAGTTAAAGCAAATCCTATATTAAAATTATTTAGACAGGTGCAAAAACAAAATAAAGAATGTCATTATGTACAAATCATCTGCATCTTTTGAATGCCATGTGCATTTCTGCTGCTTTATCTCAGAAGAGATATACTGGAATTGTTGAGAGTTCACAGAGAGAAAGAAAGGAAACAATAACTTCTGGTATAACTTCTCTGTTAGGGACTGAGTACTTCTCATTCTGGAGAAAAATGCAATGGCGAGAGAAAGTTACAAAGGAGGTATGTTACGGAGATCTACAAAGTCATAAATAGTATGGAAAAGATGGGTGGTGACTGATTGCTGTCCCTCCAAGGGCCAGAATGAGGGAGCATGGGATGAAGATCAGTGGTTCTTAGTGTTGTGTGTAATTAGATATACAGAACTCATCGACAGAAAGATGCTCAAAGTTTACCTCACATGCATAGCAGTTCAAGGACACAACATCCAGCTCTAGATATTCCTAAACTGAAAATGGGGGGCAAGAAAAGGATTAGTAAAGAGGATTATGTATGTTTACCCTGTTCTTAGTTTTCCTCAGGCATCCATATACAGTTCTTTGTTAGGGTATCAGGCAGGTGGTAAACCATTCCTACAGTTGTGCTCAAGAAGTCTATGGAAGGTCAGTCAGGCTGTAGTGGCTCAACAGTTGGATTTAAATACCATCATCCTAAAATGATGATGACTTTCTGGGTTGGGGATGTTTGTCTTCAGGATGAGGTAATAACCTGTACCAGATTCTGTATGTTTTCTTGTTGCTTCCGTCATTTGTAAATTGCTGATACACTTGAAGCTAGTGATTTTTAGAAGTTCCTGTTGTTTAAGATGTTCAGATCCTTTCTTTTAGGCTTCCCTGGTGCTTGTATGACTAACATGTAAACAGTATCTTTCACGTAGTCTTTTTAGTAGTTTGAAAACCTGCTGCTGAATCTCAGTGTGTGTTTTAATCAAAAACGTTGTTGAGGTTTAACATAGGAAAATGAAACATCTCCACCAGATGGCACACCTGCGTAAACACATTGGGAAAGAAGGTTCTGTTGGCTTTATTTCTTAATTATCAGCACTTCAATTTTCAAGATTAATTTCATGGTGGATTAGGACTTCTAAATTTGTAGCTTCTATTTTTTGCTTTTCTTTGCTACCAGAAAATAAAAACATTAGGTTCTAGTTGTCAGCAGAAATGTGGTGTGTTCAAGCAACCGACAATACTGAAAAGCTGTAGCTTTTCCATGTTAGTTTCTTTCTGACTTTTGATTATCATCAGTGACGTGCTTTGTTCAGTTGTTTCAATAGCAGTGCAACAGAAACTCAAGCAAGTTGTTTTGTTTGTTATATCTTGACTAATACTCAATCTATAGTTTTTATTTCTCAGTGAAATGCTAAGGTACTTTCAGGCAGAATCTTCTGTTTCACCTGCTTTTTTTTTATTGCCTTCCTTTGTTACATCTGTTTTTGGAACATCCTTAACTTTCCTGCATGTTCTCAGTATCTGAATGGAGTAGGTGGTGTAATATGGGGAGGTTTCAAATACGTTTGTGGATCCTTCTTTTGGCTGCCTCCTAACTTTTTATTTATTTTCTCAGTCAGTGGATTGATTTTTCTATTTTGAAACCAGTGTCACATTTATTCTGACATAATCTAAAAAATAAGAAATATGAGAACTGAAATGTAATTACAGCTAAGGACTTAATTTGCATGTTGCACTCTGAGCACACATGTCCATAAGGTAACCTGTTGCAGTATTTTGCAACCATAGCATTTGGTGAGATCGTTTTTGTTCTTCATTTCTTGTATGCATCCTGCCTCTGGATGAATCACTGAGGTAAGGAGGCCCTGTCTCACATTCTGAGGGTGTTTATAGTTCTGGCCCTGTTCCGAGTGCAGGGAGGCTGGAGTTACAAGCCCCTTCAAAGTGATGATCCTAGGGTAAGTGCAAGTAGAATCACCAGTAGATCCACATGGTCCATATCTTGGCTGCTTGTAGCACTGCATGCCTTTTGCTGCACCAGCACCTGTTAGGGCTGCACCCTGTTAGAAATAAACTACTGTGGTGGCCACGTTGTAGCTTGCTTTCATCATAAAGCTAAGATAATATAAAATGGAAGTATGGAAGTGAAGAGTAGCCTTCTCTCTCTTTGTAAAGGATAGAGTGAGAGGACAAGACATCTTACGAGTTTAAGACCAGACAATATCTGTTTATGTGGATAAACAAATGAATACAGGAAAGAATAATTTTTCTTAACGGAACTAAGTACAGGATCCTACTTAACTAAGAAAAATAACAAGAAGTCGCTGAAACAGTATTAGATCTCTACTGAAATGTTATTGTATTGAGAAGCTATAAAATAGTTAACAGTTGCCTTTTTAGCAAGAACACAGTGTACTACTATGAGCTAATATTAACTGCTACTGTACCTGGCTGAGACAGAGCAAATCCTTGCCAATACTAGGAGTTGTAACAGCTATCCAACATGTGCTCTGAGAAGATCTGCAAATTTAATGAGAAAAGTCATGATACAGGGTAAAGGGTGTAAAAACTAAGAAGGCTAAATGTGTTCTTTGTGTCAAAACAAATGCCACTATGTTTTCTTTATTTGGAAGGAAGGTTTGATGTATTCAAATTTGGTGGAAGCCTACTAGTGAACAAAGAAACAACTTTTTGTCAGTGGGCTGAGCTTAGAATTGGAAAAAAAAATAATTAAAAAATTCCATTTAAAACATGACACGGTTGGTAGATGTGTTTGTTCACTTAACAGAAGCAAACTAATTTTAGAATGAGATCATTAAATGCAACTTTCTGGTATGTTTCCTTGATTATGTCACATTTCTTTAACTCCTCCTAGCCCTGATTATGTCTTTGTAAACAACTAAAACAATTTATGGAATGCAATTTATCTGATTTTAGTTGTTAGCCATGTCAGTTGTTAAAGAAGAAAGACAGAACCCAGAATTAGTCTTTGGCAGGTAAAAAGCCTTTTTAGATCACCTTTAAGATTAAGCCACCTTAATATTATGAGACCACTGATTTCCTGCTGCAGCTCCTAGATTGTTTCAGTAGTTCTTGTTAGTGTATGGTTTGTGGGCTTATAAAAACATTCACTGAGGAAGCAGTGATTCAAGTGCTTTCTAAACCTCACAAATAATACAAATATCAAAAAGCAGAGAATGTTTATCTTGCTTTGGTAGACATGGTATATGTGCCTTTTCCAGTTTGAGTACGGAATATACTGCTTCTTGAGGGGGATTGTAAAAGGCTTTACGTGTTTCTTTTCTAGAAACAGTTCTGGAAGATGCCTGAAACTGTTTTGTTTGCTGTTTTGTTTTGTTTTCGAATTAGTAACTACCCCAAAAAATTTCTTCCTTAATGTAGGCAAAAAAATAGATCCAAATGCAGCTTTACTTGCTTGATGTCTTGCTCTCTGACCAATCTCCCGTAGAAAGCCCTTTCAAGAAAAAGTGCTGCACTCATTCTCATTTGGGAATGGCCATTCTGTTGCTCCCTGGCTTTTTTCAACTGTTCATTAGCTGGTTGGTCATTGGTTGCACTTAGGTTGTTTTATAAAAGCCAGTGGACACTTGATGCATTTGTGGTATTAATTCTGATTCTCTGGGAACTGATCTGAAGGTAATTATTTAGTGTCCAGTCCACAAAGTTAGCCCATCAAAACATGCATGCTCTTTCTGCTTGCAGCATCCTTTGGTATCCATCAGAGCAGGTTTTTAAAAGGGAAGGAAAAAGCTTTTGTAAAGTAAGAGTGTTGGTTGCATTTATTTAATATCTGTTATTCCAAAAGCTGTATGTTTGAGTGTTAAAGCAGTCTGCAGTTAGGAAAGCATAAATGTAATCCATAAATACAAGCAGGGAAGGTAAGGTAATGAAAGATTGCCTAATGGGAGTTAGCAGGATTGCAGGAATTTTTAAA